AATGCTGGAGCTTGTGTAGATCTCAGCTCCTCTGCAGCACAGGGACAGAAAGTGTGTCCATCTGAAGCCTTTCTAGTGGTTTTAATCCAATGATCCAGTGAAGGAGCTTCTTTCATGCGGTTTCCATCCTGTAATTATGACTTTCTGCAAAGATGAATGTTGTTCTTTAGGAGTTCTATCCCGGAGCAGTGAGTGTAGTTTGTACAGGTCTAGAGCTCATAATTACAGTCATGATGTGAGCTCAACGTGAACACAGTGCTGCACGTCTCACAGTCTCTGTCTCTCTCTCGGTCTGTCCAGGAGGAGAAGGACGGTGAGCCGCCCAAGGACTCTCTGGACGATCTCTTTCCTAACGATGAGGAGGAACACTCTCAAGGAAGTGAGTGAACATCACTGCAGGCCAGAGATTATCTTGCTATAGGGAGATGAGAGGGTCTGTATTACTTACTATTGGAGAAGGATCACGTGTGCCTTAACCATCACATCACAGCCTTGACGTCACTGAATTTCAGTCAGAGTTGTGCGACACTCAGTCACCGTTTACGGATCCTATAGGAATGAATGAGAAGTGCCACCTGTTGTTATTTTATTTTACAGAACAACAGTACAATTACAATACTAACATTTATGAATGTCGATGGAGCTTTTATTTTGGCAGAAACCCGCAGGAAGACCTCTTTGTTGACAACAGCAGATTTATAAATAATGTTTGTTGCACATATTATTGTAAGAATTGATCAAAATGTGGCTGAGCAGCTGACGAGTAACACTGTTTCAGCGCAGATTTGGACTCTGAACCCTGGCTAACGAGCTCGTCAGCGCTGGCAGAACACATGCAATCCGTGTGTGTTTTAGAATTCACAAATTTTACTAATTTAAGGCCATTTGGTGATTTTACTCATCATACAGTAACCAGCAGCAGCCCTTCCTCTTCTCATCGAGACGTGTGATGCAGAGCTAAACAGTCTCTCGCTGTCGGTGCTGTAATGATTTTGCGTCTTTCTCAGACACTTCTGCTGACATGTTTGCTGCATTAGTGCACGCTTCTATTTGATTGCATCACGTCATTGTTCGGTACAATTTATTTGGTCTTTCTGGTTATTCTCCAATTATTATATTTGCTATTTTTGGCTGAATATTTTCGGTTGCCAAACATTTGTTGCATCCCTAGTTGCAGGCTTGCCTTCTAGTGGCTTTGTGTCGTCTCAGGTGAGCGTCTGTCGTTAAGCCTGCTCTGACCTCTGACCTCTGCCCTCTGCAGTGCAGCAGCACAACAGTGCGGCGGTGGCGGCGGCGCAGGGCGGCTACGAGATCCCCGCGCGGCTGCGGACGCTGCATAACCTGGTGATCCAGTACGCGTCTCAGGGCCGCTACGAGGTGGCTGTGCCACTCTGCAAACAAGCTCTGGAGGATCTGGAGAAAACCTCGGGACACGACCATCCAGACGTGGCCACCATGCTCAACATCCTGGCACTCGTGTACAGGTGAGAGAGCGATCTTCACAGTGATTCACCACACTATCACCATCATGTGCTGACTTCACCGTCTGTGTGAGTGTGTGTGTGTGCGTGTGTATATATGTGTGTGTGTGCGTGAGTGTGTGTGTGTGTGTGTCAGTGAGTGTGTGTGTGTGTATATGTGTGTATGTGTGTGTGCGTGTGCGTGTGAGTGTGTGTGAAAAACCCAAAATGCCCAGCACTGGATGGGCTTGAAACTACAGGGAAAATTAGCACTTCTCCAATCGGCTGAGCACTCAGTATCCCACTCTGTTCTGACAAACTTTTCAATCTCAGAGGATGTTCTAATTTTTCGTGTGTCTGTGTGTGTGTGTGTATATGTGTGTGCGTGCGTGACTGAGTGTGCGTGACTGAGTGTGTGTGAGTGAGTGTGTGTGTGTGAGTGTGTGAGTGTGTCAGTGAGTGAGAGTGAGTGTGAGTGCGTGCGTGCGTGTGTGTGTGTGTGTGTGTGTGTGAGTGTGCGTGCGTGTGAAAAACCCAAAATGCCCAGCACTGGATGGGCTTGAAACTACAGGGAAAATTAGCACTTCTCCAATCGGCTGAGCACTCAGTATCCCACTCTGATTTGACAAACTTTTCAATCTCAGAGGATATCCTAATTTTTATGATTAAAGCACGACTACAATGTCTCCCAACTATGTACAATCTGTCAGTATGGTACCCGTCAAATTACAACTCCTACTGTCTGTTACATCACAATCGACAGAAAAATGAAACGGTTGCCCACATCTTAAATGGATGTTGTTGTTACAAAGGACTGTATGTGTCCACACATGATCGCTTGGCTGATCTGATTGTAAAGGACTTGAAAACAATACATAAAGACAGTAAGTTTTACCAGCACTTTCCAAACTGCTGAAATATCAGCCATTGGTTGAAGCCATCCATCAACTTGACTATCACTGTAAGTTAATCACCCTAGTGTTTGGAAGCTTAGGTCATGTGCACAAGAATGTGATTAAAGGACTGCCCAGTGGATTGCAAAAAAACTCACAAAATTTTGTTCAGTTTCAGCCACTATAGGGAGTATGCACATATGGAAACGAAGATGTTTTGTCAATCCTTGAGTGTTGAATGCTATAAATATCAGGACTTGTGACTGTATGTTAGCCATGTGTACCTTGCAAACTGACTTCCCAAGGTATTTGGATTCTGTTTTTGTTGCTTGTCTTGTGGATCCAAATAAAATAATAAAATGTGTGTGTGTGTGTCTCAGGGATCAGAATAAATATAAAGAGGCGGCTCACCTGCTGAACGACGCTCTCTCCATCAGAGAGAAAACACTGGGCAAAGACCATCCTGCTGTAAGTCATCTGTATTTAATCCGTTCAGATTCAGACTCCCAATAACAGGAAAAACTGCAGCTCTTCTTACGAACTGTTTTGAGGATGCAATAGTAGTGTCACTCTCTCAGAGCCGCGCGTCTCATGAGATCAGTGTTGGTTATGGTTTGTTATGTGATGTGTTTGTGAGATGGTCAGCTGGTTTCTGCTCTTGTGTTTCAGGTTGCAGCCACTCTCAATAATCTGGCAGTGCTGTACGGGAAGAGAGGCAAGTATAAGGAGGCCGAGCCGCTGTGTAAACGAGCTCTGGAGATCCGAGAGAAGGTCAGTGCTCACCGTCAACACTGAGATCTCTGCCGTGTGAGATGAGCGATTACTCGCTCGTCTCCTGAGGAGTTTTGATGGAGCAGCAGAATGTCATTAAACACTGACAGCAGCTGTTTATTTATTTAAACTCTTGCATTTAAATGATTGTCCTAATGAATTAGCCTTGTCTGTGTGTGTGTGTATCTGTCAGGTGCTGGGGAAGGATCATCCTGACGTGGCGAAGCAGCTGAATAACCTGGCGCTGCTGTGTCAGAATCAGGGCAAGTATGAGGAGGTGGAGTATTATTACTGCAGAGCGCTGGAGATCTACGAGTGTCGGCTCGGCCCAGACGACCCCAACGTGGCCAAAACCAAGAACAACCTGGTGAGTCTGAGCAGTGCTGCGGAGAGTTACTTTTAAAAGTGATGGATTACAATGTTGTGTTACTCCTGATTTCTGTCACCATGGCAACACCACAGCTGTCACTCAATACATGGAAACAAAGTAACTGGAGCTACTTATTTGAAAAAGTAACTCAGATATTTCCTTCTAAATGAAAAAGTATTGTGTTACTTTATTAGTTACTTTAAAAAAGTAATCTGATGGCGTAACTCGTGTTACTTGTAATGCGTTCCCCCAGCACTGAGTGTGAGAACAGCGCTTCTGCAGCCGGTTTAAACACACGCTTGATAAGCGGCTGCATTTGCATTTTACCCTCATCATGCAAATATGAGCAGAGCTGCAGCAGAATTCATCAGAGCGTCTGCCTTTTGTGTGCAGCTGTACTTCATGTGTGTTCTATACAGGGCTGTCGATTATGGAGAAATAGTGCATTCAAATGTTTAATGCATTTAAAGTCCAGACTTGTCCGTCATCTTACACTGAATGCATGATGAAGTCTATCAGAATGCAGTTATATGCGTCTAAAATTTAGGATATGAGGGCAAAAATGACTCTCTTATATTTATATCATATGATATAGTTTAGTAATATCACACCAGCTAGAGTGATGTTTTTCCGCAGTATCTGCACGACTGCAAATGTGATATTGAACAGAACAATAAACAAGACATTACTATTGTGTTACATTTTAGACACAATATTGTCAGTTTTTTGCCCAGTTTTGCAAATAAAAAAGCCACTGCAAGAACGATCGACACACAGCGGTGAGTCATTGCTGAATGAATCCACGGTTTAGGACAAATCGAGTGAGTCAATGATTCAGTTCATAAGGAGTCACTTGCTTCGTTTCTGAATGAATCAGTTGAATGAATGAATGAATGACTCACTCATTAAGACTTGCCGCTACATACTGGTGCTTTTAGTTTCATAGTTTGGGTTATCATTAAATTTCATATTTCTCACACACACACACACACACACACACACACACACACACACAGAGTAAGACAGCAGATCAACACAGACACACACAGACACACACACACGCACGCACAGAGTAAGACAGCAGATCAACACACACACACACACACACACCTTGCTCATCTCCTCTCTTTCTTCCGCGTGCATCCAGATGGGCTTGTTTTCAGCTGGAAACCGACACACAGGTGACATCATTACCCATGATGCTCTCTGTTGTATCAGACTGGACTCAGGGTCAGTCTTTTGAACACTCATTAAATAAAGTCTGATTCATAACCACTAGATTCTCGAACCACAATGATTCATACTGAAATACTGAAGTGCATGGAATCATGTTCATGTTTTCTCTGTCAAACCTGCAGCAGCTTCATTGTGAGCATCTCTGAACGTCACTCACCATCCACCGATCCGAACTCCTTCTCGTGAGCGCGGGTCAGAATCTCTTTGTACAGGACCTCGGCTTCTTTGTATTTGCCTTGTTTGAGGAAGCAGGACGCCTGCGGAGAGACGAGAGCGTTCACTGCTGATGAAGATCATCCAACAGAGACAGATGAGTGTGTGTGAGTGTGAGAGAGTGTGTGTGTGTGTGTGTGTGTGTGTGTGAGAGTGTGAGTGAGTGTGTGCACGTGTGTGTGTGTGTGTGTGTGCGCGCGAGTGAGTGAGTGAGTGTGTGCGAGTGTGTGTGTGTGTGAATGTTGATCTGCTGTCTCTCACTCCGTGTGAGTGCGTGCGTGTGTGAGTGAGTGAGTGAGTGAGTGTGTGTGTGTGTGAG